CACACAATAACTTGATTCCAATGAATATCCTTCTTATCAATTTCTTGAAGAATGTTCGTCGTTGATTAATTCTCAAATTACTACTTCTCTGACGATCATATATGGAAATAACGTCAGGAAAAAATTGGCTTCGTTATTGAACAGAGCGACAAAATAGTGCGGAACAAATAGCGCATAAGGAAGGACACTACTTTTTCTGAACAATCTGACCTGACTCGGCTTAAATGAACCTTCTTAGAAAAAATATATTTTTCAACATCGATCAGATTGTGTGCAAGGCATCGTTCGTGTGTGTTTGAAGACTGCATAAAAAAGGACACTACTTTTTCCAAACAATCTAACCTAACTCGACTTAATTCAACCTTCTTCTTGAAAAACATATATTTTCCAACATCGTTCAGATTTGGTAGCAAGGCATCTTTCGTGTATGTTTGAAGACTGTTGCTGAATATTCCAAAATGGCTCTGTTTCTTTTTGATTTTGTCGAATAGCTCGGCACGCGAAGAATGGTTACATTGAAGAGTGTTTTTGAAATTAATGAACGAAGCAATCATTCTCTGATACAAATTGGCAACCACGCATTTCCTCACCATGGAAATCGGATTTTTCTTTACTCGTTACCATGACGATCGTTGCCATGGCAATAGTTTTTCCATAACTGATTTCAGCCAAACTAAACCCAATACAACTTGGCAACCACGCATTTCCTCACCACGGGAATCGGGTTTTTGTTTACTCCTTACCATAACGATCGTTGCCATGACAACAGTTTTTCCCTAACCGATTTCAGCTATACTAAACCCGATACAATTTGGCAACCACGCATTTCCTCACCACGGGAATCGGGTTTTTGATTACTCGTTAACATGACGATCGTTGCCATAGCAACAGTTTTTTCATAACTGATTTCAGCTAAACGAAACTTGAGCCATCTCCTATCCCGAAAACCCCCAGATACCAATTTTGAATAGAATTGGATCATAATTACGAAACTCGTTCGCCATATGATCTTCCTCGACAAGTAAATACCCTGTACATACCTATTATTAAAATTTTGAATGATTTTCTGTAGCGCACATGGATTTGACGTGATAGCAATGTCAGGAATGCCAGCAGACAAAACTAAAATCTCTAGATCATTAAAAAAGAATGCAGCTATGATCTGTCCGTACCCTGTTGTTTCAACTACAGTATAGATCACTAGATAACATCAGATAATGGAAGTCTAGCTGGTCAGGATCGGTCAGGATTACAGTCACTGGATGGTATTATAATACCATCCACCTAACTATAGTTAGATAAAAGTTCGGACAATTATGGAAAAAGCATCAGTAATTACACCATATCTCACTTCCATCATTGTTGGGACACAGAAATGACAACTGTTAGTGTTTTTGAATGTTTAGACCATAGACCTATTAATAGGTCTATGGTTTAGACAAAGAGGAGGCCTACTATTCTTTGGTTTAGATTTATTAAGTTACACACCTTGCATTGTGAACACAGCATCATAGTCGTTCCGTTAAATATTATGAACGTCAGAAATGAAATATAATTTCATAAACTGTTGAGGAAAAAAGCATAAATGAACACTTCCTGCTGTGTAATGAATTGTGGGAATTCTGAACGGAATGGCAATTTCATTTCTTCAATTTTCCAAAGGAAATATCAACCATTCTCTTATAGAAGGAATGAATGAAACGACCTGGATAGGAAATTAATTTGAAGACAAGCAAAATTTGTGAGGTGAGTACATAAGTACATTAAAATTCACTTCTTTTATGACAGCAGTTTGGAATGAAACTATGAATTTAGGCTGTTCCATTGATTTACAAAACAGACTATTAAAAAAAATCCAATATTATCATCACACGAAGCGCAAAACAGAATAATCATAGAGAAAGAGGAATTGATTGCAAAACCATGTAATGAAATTGGGAAATCAAGTAAATTGCAACGTGATATAATATCATTGAATGGCGTTTTCGATACCAACCAAATTCAAAATTTATCAGTGGAAAGTGGATGCAGCAAAAGGTGAAAAATCAGAACGATATTCATGTTTTAAACTATAGCTATAAATATATCCAAATGTGTCTATTTTGTCATATCAAAATGTTGTTCTAAAAACATTTGTTCTAAAATCGTTCTAAAATCATTGTTGTTACATGATTTTTTTTTTCATTTTTATAACTATTGTTCTGCGAAAAGTGTATCGCTATATATACATTGAAGTAGGTGTTTATACCCTATTCCTATTTTCCATCTACGACAATGATTGATTTGACAGAAAATCTAACCTCTAAAATCGTAAATAACAATCAGGCCCTACTAGCGAAATTGAAAAGACAAAGAGCAGATTATATGTCTTATTCTTTTTTTCACTCGAACGTTGATTGATATATTACGCTAAGCGTAACGTCTCGAACCATTGTATTATAAGTCGCGTGCACCATGGCTAACCCTGAAGGTAAAATATTCGAAGGATTGAAATAGTTTTCCACAATATTTTGGCATACGAATCGTGTTTTTTGCGCTATTCATCAATTGAAGCATGCCTTCTCATTGTGCCGTTGAACAATACACAAAAATGCAACGAGAGACGAAGGGATATGATTTTTCAGGTAAATAGTAATCTCACATAGTTTTCATTATGAAATTTTGTCATTTCTGATTAAAATTCCTTCTGCCACTTCCGCAATAAAAGCTAATACTGCTAATAGATTGAAAATGTCTACAACACCAACGATCATATTTCGTCAGCATGTCAGACCAGTCCACCCGTCGTCGTGTGTTGACTTGTTCATCACAACAAGCAGCACAGCAGCATACTGAATTACTTGCGAGCAGGTTCATTGCTTGCGAGAGACATTTATTTGTCGTGTCTGTCACAGCAGTGTCAATGTCAAGTACATTAAAGGTGAGTACCCAATGCAGCTTGTCTGCATTTCGTGTCACGCACTATGATTTGTGACGCGTAAATGAGAATTGCTGAGCTGAGAATACTGAAAGCATAAGTATAGGGTAATGTTCGCAAGATATACAGAGCTGCATCAGATAAGTAATTCATCAAAAAACGAAAATAGCATAGTGAAAATGTGATAATCAGGTAGGTAAGAGATAACTTGAGATCACTTTCTGAAATGAGGGTTTAATGAAGTTGCATTCAAAATTTCTAAATTTTCATGAAAAATTTTGTGTTGAAGAAATTTATATTACTTCAATAGGTCGCGTGCACGATGACCGACCCTGGAGGCAAAATATTGAAACACAACCTCACTCTTCTGTGAATTATTGTATCACAACCTCACTTTTTTATTTGTTTACAGAGGAATCAAAAGGTTGAAATAGTTTTTCACAATATTTTGGCATACGAATCGTGTATTGTGCTTGTTGCTGTTGTACAATGCACGAAAAATGCAGCAAGAGACTAGGGAATATGATTTTTCAGGTAAATAGTAATCGCACATAGTTATCATTATGAAATGTTGTCATTCCTTATTAAAATTCCTTCTGCCTTCTGCCACTTATTCTGCAATACAAGCTTATACTGCTAATAGATTGAAAATGTCTACAACACACATGATCGTCAGCATGTCAGACCAGTCCTCCCGATTGATTACATGAATCCAATCTTCTTGCATTATTCTAGAAATTTCAGGTATATTTCTATTAGCTCTTATTGCAGAAGGAATTCCGATGAGAAATCAGAGAAATAACCAAATTTCAAAAATGAAATCAAATCATAATGTACCATCCGGATTCCTTCATCTTCCGCTGCAGTTTTTGTGCATTTTACAACAGCACAATGTGATGGCATGAGCGAATTGATGAATAGCGGAAAAATACGATTCATATGCCAAAATAGTTGTGGAAAACTATTTCGATCACTTGTAAACAAATAAGAAAAGTGACGTTGTGTTTCAATGTTTTGCCTCCAGCGTCGGTCATCTGACAGTTCTTGCACGCAACCCATGAAGATTAAGGTTTGTGGAACATAACCTCAACGCAACCCAAAGCAGCAATGCCAAGGATAAGAAACCTGAAGGTGAGTTCCCAATGCATCGTTTTTGCTTTCCGCGTCACGCGTCATGCATTCTGATTGGTGACGCGGAATTCGAGCATAATTTGAAGCGATGAAGTTAAAATATTTTATTTTTCCGGCGTTGCTGCTAGGTGATATGTCATTTATATTTGATTTTGGGCTGTTGTTTGCGGTTGAATTTAGGTTATGTCTTGAAAAACTTTCAATAGTTTCAAAATTTTATTAAAGTAAATACAGGTATGAACTATGGATAATGAGGACGTTCTAATTGTAAGTTTATTTATTCTTATTGTTGAGAATTGTCTAATGATTGTTAAATAATTACAGTATCACTGTGGAATGTGCACTGAAATCATCAACTGTAATGGTTAGGTCTGACCCAGCATGATCTTATTTTTCCCTGTCTTCTTCGTTTTCTCAGTAGATAAGCTGATAGCAGCAATTTTCTCAATCTATTTTTGTTTCTTGCTTCCATTTTATAAGATTATTTTCATCTACTTTGACATTTTCCTGACAATAACGACATAGCTAAACATCATTCATTGGGAACTAAACAATAATCAAAAAAGCGGTACAGCAATTCCGGATTACGCGTCACCAATCAGAGTGCGTGACGCGTGACGCGAAAAGCAAAAACTATGCATTGGTAACTCACCTTAACCGAACTGGTAGCGGTAGCTAGAGTTCCTAAATGTACTTGACACTGCTGTTTTGACAGGCGCTAATGAGAACGATATTTTGGCAAGGGGCGGGCATAATGCCCCATTTTGCGCCCCGAAGCGCCGCCACTGTTTTTAAACGTCAAAGCAGTGTCAAGTACATTTAGGAACTCTAGCGGTAGCATAGCACTTTGAACGTCCAATTTTCTTAATAAGCTGATTCAAATTTGGTTTTTGTTAATCTGTGGTTCTAGTAATTAATTCACATTTCATATCACTTGAACCAATTTAATTCAGATTGTTCAGAATGTATCCTTTAAGAATCAGTCGTATTTTGAGCCAACATATATCAGAGGTTAGACGAAATTTATTGGTTCTCCAGAATGCACCCAGATATCTACGGAAAACTAATAAAATTTCTCGAGCTGATATGAGAATGCTGAGTACTGTAGTGTCGCCAAATGAAGAGGAACATAATATCATCAAAGATACAGAGAGAGTAATAGGGGAAAGTTCCAAGCATGAATTTCAAGCTGAAACTAGAATGCTGTTGGACATAGTTGCAAGATCTTTATATTCAGAGAAAGAAGTATTCATCCGAGAACTGATATCAAATGCCAGTGATGCACTAGAGAAGTTTCGTTATCTGACTGTTGCAGGGAATGAAGGTGCTGATAAAATTGTAGAGTTTGATAGACCTTTAGAAATTCACATATCTACTGACAAACACAAGTGTACTTTAACAATACAGGATACTGGAATTGGAATGACAAAAGATGAGCTATTGTCAAATCTAGGAGTAATAGCTAAATCTGGATCTAAAGCATTTGTTGAAGAGATGAAGGCAAAACAAAAAAGTGGTGACAATAATATTATAGGACAGTTTGGTGTGGGTTTTTACAGTGCATTTATGGTTGCAAATAAGGTTGAAGTTTATTCCAGAGTGGCTGGAAAAGAAGGATACAAATGGGCTTCTGATGGAATGGGTACATTTGAAATCCAGTCAGCTGAAGGTGTACAGTGTGGCACCAAAATTGTACTTCATTTAAAAACAGACTGCAGAGAATTTGCTGATGAGGACACAGTAAAAGAAGTAATTAAAAAGTACAGTAATTTTGTTGGTAGTCCCCTATATCTGAATGGACAGAAATTCAACATTGTGCAGCCTTTGTGGTTAACAGATCCCAAAAGTATAACAACACAGCAACATGATGACTTTTACAGGTTTATAAGTGGAAGTTATGATGTTCCCAGATATACTTTGCATTACAAGACTGATGTGCCAATCTCCATAAGGGCATTGTTATACTTTCCTGAAGGAAAACCTGGTTTATTTGAGATGTCAAGAGAAACTGAATCAGGAGTGGCCCTTTATACTAAGAAGATATTGATCAAAAGCAAAGCTGAAAATATTTTACCAAAATGGTTGAGATTTATCAAAGGAGTTGTAGATTCTGAAGATATCCCATTGAACCTTAGCAGAGAACTTTTACAAAATAGTACCCTAATAAAGAAACTAGGAGATGTTTTAACAGCTAGAGTATTGAAATTTCTCCAAGATCAGTTGAAGAAGGATGTTGATAATTATAAAAAGTTCTATGAGGATTATGGGCTTTTCATCAAGGAAGGAATCATTACAAATCATATTCAGTCACAAAAGGAAGATGCAGCTCATTTACTGTTATTTGAATCATCTCATGAACAACCAGGGAAGAAAGTCACATTGAGTAACTACATTGCAAGGGCATCAGAAAATAGGATCATCTTTTATTTGGCTGCTCCAAGTAGAACCTTAGCTGAATCTTCACCCTATTATGAATCACTAAAATCCAAAAAGCAAGAAGTATTGTTCTGTTATGAACCCTATGATGAGCTAGTTCTGATGCAGTTGCAACAATTCAAAGGATACAAATTAGTATCTGTTGAAAAAGATATGAGAGATGACAAGGCAGCTAATGATCTAACTAATCTAGGGGAAGACAGCTTGAAACGTAGTGAAATCAATGACTTATCAAACTGGATCAAAGACAAACTGAGTGGCAAAGTAACATCAGTAATTGCCACTACTAGATTAGATAGCCACCCCTGTGTAATAACTGTTGAAGAAATGGCTGCAGCCAGACATTTTATCAGGACACAGGATAACTTGCCAGAGGATAAGAAATATGCCTTATTGCAACCTCAGTTTGAATTTAACCCTAGGCACCCTATCATAAAGAAACTGTTTACATTAATTAGCACAAATCCAGAATTGGCAGAGTTATTAGCAAAACAGCTATTTGCAAATTCCATGGTGGGTGCAGGCCTAGTTCAAGATCCCAGAGTTCTTCTAGTTTCAATGAATGATCTTTTAGAGAAAGCTTTAAATAAACATTAATTTCAAAAATATTGTATTAAATGAAAACAAATCTTTATGAGTAAGAGTAAATCATATTCTCAAAAACCAATAACAATAAAAATGTGTGCCAAATTAGTAGGTGCTTAAGGTATGCCCCCTTTTCTCCATTGTTTTTCTAGCAATATTTCTGAAATTCGAAACATCGAATATGCTCACTAGAGGGCACTATCTCACATTTTAGGAAATTCTTTTCATCTGGTTTTCCTGGAAATTACATCATCTTCCGATTTTCAAATGGAACCTGTTTTTTATTCCATAATCGGTTTGAAATTATTATACCAAATTCAACAATACCGGTTATTATACGGAATTCAACAATACCAGGATTGATTGGGTTATTTTAAAGGATTATGAATATATTCCCGTTCGGAGTTTCCATAAGCTCAATGAGTGCGACAGAGAAAGAAGATTCGATATTGCGCCGTCACACCCGAGGTCACACCTATTATTATATTGAGCTTAAGGAAACTTCGAACGTGAATATCTTCCTATAATCCTTTGAAATAACCCAATCAAACCCAGTATTGTTGAATTAGTTATAATCTCTAACCGATTATGGAATAAAATACAGGGTGTTCCATTTTTCCTGGAAAACCGGAACATGAAAAAAAATTCCTGAAATCAAAAGTGCCCTCTATTGAGCATATTCAATTCTCCAAATTTCTGAAATATAGCTAGAAAAAAAAAGGAGTAATTATTGCTAAAGTTGATTTTTTTCTCATACTTGTCTCTGTTCATGGCATGATGTAAACAGAGAGTCATAGAAAAAAATCAAGTTCAGCAGGTAGAGCAAGCACAAACAAACACTATAATATGATTTATATGGGGTGTTCACAGTGGCGGCGCTACGGGGCGCAAAAGGGGGCAGTATGCCCGCCGCTTGCCAAACTATCGTTCTCATTAGCGCCCCTTTTTCAATCCCGAAGCACCGACATGTGTTTTCGCCTTGATTTCTAGAACCGCCACTGGGTGTTCATTTGAAAATTCCCACCCACATCTCGCTGAGTAGATGGTTCTCGGAAAATCGTCGAGAAATGTAAACAATAACTATGAGGGGAACATTGTTATCACGTGAAAATCACTTTGCTCGTTTGATCCCCTTTATTGCCCCCACTGCCACCCCATCAAAAATGGCATTGTAGGTTGTGTGGCACGACCTCATTGAATAGGAATTAGTTCAATAATGAGTTCTTACCTGAAATTATGAAACTAAAATTAAGATGAAGGTTCATCAAATCATCCTCCACGAAAACAAAATATCCTCATATCCTCTTCAATTTAAAATTATTAATTTCAATTATTCCTTTGTCCGAAATTGACAATCCATGCATGTAAATAAACTACTTTTACAATATCCCCCTGATTTTGTAGGATCGTGTTGTCATTGGCTCAACCAAGGTGGATGGTGGATATACACAGGGGTGTCTCGAAATTACTTGGAAAGATTTCAACCACAGATTCTAGGACCAAAAATAGTGAAAAAAGTCAATTGAACATGATCGCAGAAATGCCCCCCTGGGGAGTTACAGCCATTTGAGAGAGGGCCCGAGATGATGTTTTTTGTAAATATTTCTGAAACCCTCGCCTGTGTTGAGATAACGAGATTTTGTACATATACATTACTTTTTCGGGGGCTCAACACTTCCAAATCAGGCATACACAAATGTACAAAATTTCGTTATCTCAACACAGAGGGTTTTGGAAATATTTACTATATATAACTCCCCAGGGGGGCATTTCTGGGCTCATATGTTTATATGAACTTTTTTTACTATTTTTGTTTCTAAAATCTGTGGTTGAAAATTGAAATCTTCCTATGTAATTTCGGGACACCCTGTATATTCACGCGACGGTTGTCAATCTACCCCCCAATTAGAATTCGGCTCGTTGAACGCGGATTATTTGCTGTAATACGTATTATGTCAGTTTCTTGTAAAGTTGACAAACCTCGATTTTGAACACTTAAATCTCTGTAATCAATCCCGCCAGACCCCAAGTGTGATAGATTTAGAACGGTCGAGGCCCTCTCGAGAATGTAGTTAGTTGACGTCATTGGTTGACGTGTTTCAGCGATTTTTCATAATCCGGTTCTGACGACCTACAGATAACCCTGTATATCATATTATACAAAGTGTTTCACATTTCGAGAAATCATCGCTCATATATAGATCCGAAATTGGATGCTACAGTAAATCGACCAATTCAAGACTCTGAGCTAAAACATTTTTTTATCACATTCAGATCCCATTACGCCGTGTTCAATATCGATGAAATACGTATTCAACTTAAGAAACTTAAGAAAAAAGATTCAATCAAATAAAATGTTTGACAAAACATTTATTATCACTTATATCAAATTCGGTAAGATTCGGGAAAATGATGACTCGAAATACCTTAACACTTTTTCGAAATCCCATACTGTTATTTTGATTAAACAGTATTCAGATGACCGTCAGATGATCGTTTAACTATGATTGTTTAACGGCCGGCGGCCGTTAACTGTCCCATAACAACACGATGTGGGGATTTTTCTGTAGAATTACGAGATACGTGGTTTTGTTTTTTCCTTGGAATCAAAATGTGATATTCCAGCGGAATTACGAAAAGTCTTGTGCGACACACACGGTGGGCACGCAAATAACGGATTCAGTTTTTAGATAACTGATACTATCCACTTCAACTCTCTAATACTATCCAGTAGCTCCAAAGGGATTCTGATAAATACATAACTATTTGTTTTGTTCATTCGCTAACAACGTTTGTCTCACGCTCACGCGTCGCTGGGTGATCTGTGCCCCTCTCCGAACAACGAAGGTGCCCCTTGATCTGTGCCCGTGCTTTAAAGTTCCCCCACCACTGCAATGATTATTTCTAGTACCCTGTCTCTATACAATAACGCTTGTAAATTCACAACCCTGCTCTCAATTCAAGACACATTCCATTTTGATTGGTTTAAAATGATCTATGGTCGTGGTGATGATGGAAATAAGTAGATGGTGCTATGGTGCGCGTACTCGGCCGTTCTTACGTATTGAAAACTTGAAAAAAATCACTCGACCGCCTTCTATAATTTCTCTACTTGAATCTATACAATGGCATATGGCATTTCAGGTACGCGGAACATATGTAAAAGTGGGTTTTTTTCACTGTCATAATTGTGGAATGTCGCCATCTATTAGAAGATCTCCGAAACCATTGTTCTCGAGAGGTCGAAAAGAATTTTTGAAACAAGCGCATCAGTAAGTACACCATCTACTTATTTCCATCGTTATGAATTTGACTTTTTGGTTGTTTATGTGGTTGTTGTGCGAGGTGCGCTCAGGTGCGTCTGTCCACAAATAAAACGGTGTTATTAAACTATCAACATCAAAAGTCAAAAACAATAAAAACGTCAACTTATTTCACTTACACTTTACAACAGCTATGGATTTTTTTTCTGTAATTTTCATCTTCATCAAGAAAAATGTCTTCTGAGAGTTCAGAAGATGAAGATTTGAATTTTCTCAGAGAAGCCCAAGATAGTCAATTTTTAAATGATTCTATGTTCAGTGGTAAATCAGGTAGGTTGATGTTCTTAAAAACCTAATCCCATTCTCAATAGTATTTCTTTCATAGAAAATACAACCACCAAGAAATTAAATATACCAAAAACTTTGAGGAGATCCGCAGATGATGATGAGCACCAGCATCACCACCACAATCCATTTAAGGTAACACCTGAGTTCCGCAAGTTCATAGCTAAACGTCTTTCTTCTCTTCTGGAAGTTGAACTTGAGAAACATTTGGATCACAATCATCCATCTGAGGTTATTTCCAAAAAGAAACGATTGAATGGAGGTATCAAGCTGTTTGCAAATTCAGGAAAATTTTTGAAGTTGGATGATGAGTATGAAAAAGTGGAGAACAAGTCAAGATTTCATAAAATTTCTAAACCAGTACTATTTTCTGGAGGAAGAACTGAAGTCAACATAGACTTATTGAAGGAAGTTACTGTGCAAAGTGAAGATATTTTATCTAAAAAAGAGACTAAATATTGGTCAAATAGAAGTAAATCTAAAGTCTTTGAATATAGGAAAAATATTAAGGGAACTTTAGAGTTGGTAGAACCAGTGTTTCAGTAAGTGTGAAAAATATTCTGATATAAGATGTCACATATGCCTCCATTTCGTTTAAATGTGCCCATGGGTGCTGATTTACCTCCAGCACCTACAAACCCAAAAAAACGAAGAAAGAATGCACAAGCTCCCATACAACCATCTCCTAGTGTTCAAGATTTATTGCCTCCTCCTTTATCTGGCTATGGAGATACTATTGTAGCATCTAACCCATTTGATGATTGCCCCAGCAGTGTCAATATGGTCAACTCTATTGGTCGAAACCATGGCAATCCTATGGGAATGGCAGGTAAGATGCCTATTAGGTATTTGGTGGTGGAGCTGTTACTTGGATCAAATTTCTTGTTGATGTATCAATTAGCAAAGATTTATTCTTGGGTATATTCAATAATTCATTATTAAGAATGAAATTAGATTTATTTCAAACTAAAAAATATTTATGACATTAACCAAAAACTTTCAGAAACTGAATGTTCTTTACAGGGCATCTATAGCATAATAAAAAACTAACAATGTAAATATTTCAACATATCTATTTTGTGCTTTTTATTCATTATGAAACTATCACATCATATAATCAACACCATTTTCTCCAATACTTTTAGTTTTACTTTGTCATGTTGCAGTTATATTTTGACCCATGCCATTTGTTCAGTGCATTTTGTTTTGCACCATAACAATGCTCAGTAGGCTAGTTTTCCCAAAAATAAAATACAGGAATTCTAGGGTCTTCCATTTAAAATAAGGACTTTTGTATCCATTTGCTCTTTGACCAGAAGTGCTATTAGTCCAATAAATAAAGGGAAAAAGTTAACATTAATTACACACTATTTTCATCTTCCGGTTGGAAGTAGCTTTTGGTACCTCATTAAAAATGAGACAAAGTTTGACTGAAAAACGCGTGCGATGGCGGAGAAAATGGCCCCAAAAGACCAGAAAAATAGGTTTTCAGCCAATATCTCCTAAAATATGGCAGTTAGAGATTTTCGGTTCAGATAAAAATTGAAGTTCAGTTAATTTTCTACAAAAATGGTCCTTATCATTTTTCTCGAAAATTTGCCCGGTTTCGAGAAAAACGGCAGGAAGCGCACCTCGAATAATGAGCTTCTGTGTTGTATGCTGGAGAGCACAGTCCCTGTATTTACACATCGGCGGGGGGATAAATTATTCAATAACTTTGTTAAAAATGCATATTTTCTCATGATTCAAACTTCATGTGAAAGAGGAATTCTGCTGCTATCATACCCTGTGAATTGAGTCACGCTTGACTCTTTTGGCCATATCGGAACATGGGTCAAACTTTCTGCTCCCGGTCAATTTTGACCTCGCCAGGAATTTGTTCCTATTTTTTTGTATTGCACTAATTTACTCAAAATTTTCTTGATTATGGGTCCTCATAAGGTCCTTTGTCATCCCTGAAATTTGTATACCCTAATTTTTTTGAATTTTCATTCAATCTTTGTTTATTGAATCCCAATTTTTTGCTGTTTTTGGAGCGCGGGTAAATTTTGTGAACAACCATCAATTAAAAATGTATACATGATCCGATTGGTTTCTATGATACATCATTTGAAAGCTAAGAAGGTCTACTTTTCGATTGTTCAATTACTTTTTTAGACGAAGTCGTCCATTTTTCAATAAAATTAGAAAAAGCGGGGTCAAGGAAAAAACGCACTTTTTTTTTCGGTGTTTTTTTTTCTCCGTGCTCTTTATTTCTAACATTTTAACACCTTAACTAATGTAACGGGGGAATTCCCACCTTTCCATCGATGTATATAAGTCATACCTTTGATAACCCGGTAAAAAAACCAGTATATCTAAATGTACACGCTATAATTATTACTTTTTTTCTGTGACGGGAAAAAAGTTTGGCATTTCATCCCTGTTGGCAGGTTATAAAATGTCACTTTTCATAAATTACTTTTTTCCCGTGGGAAAAAAGTGAGTACTTTTTTCCCGGATATATATCACATATATATACACTGTTGATGGCTTTTGTTGTGCTATAGTTCCGAAAAATGAGTCAATAATACTGTCTCCGAGAAAGAACTGCAAGTCCTTTTATCTTCCATTCGACTTCGCGGTTACGTATATTGCTAAATAACCACTGCATTCGCAATTTCTTGAAATCAAATCACAAAATTAGACTGACAGAAGTGACATCAGATATTTGATTACTTCAAATGAATGATAAAGATGCCTACAACGCGGTGTCCCTACTGTTAAAAACTTAAAATTTCACGTCGATAATTTTCAGATTTCAAAATAATGTAATATCTTCTCAATATTGATTCGTCCTTTCTTCTGTCACAGAAAAAAATAGTGTATTATACACGGGAAAAATATTAGATTTTAGCTCACGGTTTGTTGTCTCCCTCCGCTAAGCGTCGGGAGACAACACAACCTGGAGCTAAAATCTACTACTTTTTTCCCTTGTATAATAAATAACTATTTATCACCAACCCAAAACATATAGAAAGTGAAGATCCAAATTTTGAAAAATTGGAGCAAAAGGTGAGAATTTGTTCATGTTGTTTTTATTCAAGAACATTTGTTTACAAGCAACTATTTTAGTCTATAATATATTATTCTTGTATCATTATATCGGGTTCTCCCGTTGATAAATAAATAAATAAATAAATTAAAAAAAATATATTTTTCTGTAATAAATGAAACATGAAGAACGTTTATAACTCTTTATTCCAAAAACCTAAATCAGTCTGGTTGCAAAAAAATTTGAAACAATTTGTGGAGAATCTGCAAGAAATTGTTGCTGAGTATTATGGGTAAATATTCTTCACTCTTGAGGCATTTTCAGTTTTCCTTACCAAAAACCTAATGAACTTCAGTATTTTGCCACATGTGCAAAGCTGATTGTTGCTAGATTTAGGCCAACTGGTGAGGTCCATCCTGCTGTAATTAATCTTATAGCCTGTTTTCCTAATAAGTATATCTTGAGGCCACATCTGAGAGGAAAACAAGACCCTCGGAAACATAAATATCCATCAAAAATGTCTGGTTACAGGGTTTCTCATTTATGGCACCGAGGATTTTCCCAATCTGTAAAATGTGGTGGCGCCATCTACAATTGGTTTCCACAATCCAAAACATTGAAAATAATGGATTTCCAACACCCCCCAGCTCAAATTTTGTACAAAACTTGCATATTTCACAAGTCAAAATTTCCAGTTTTTCAACCCGATTTTTTTGCAGAAAATATTGATGTTGCGAAAAAAATGATAAGGACCATTTTTGTAAAAAATTAACTGAACTTCAATTTTTATCTGAACCGAAAATCTCTTACTGCCATATTTTAGGAGATATTGGCTGAAAACCTATTTTCATGGTCTTTTGGGGCCATTTTCTCCGCCATCGCACGCGTTTTCCAGTCAAACATTGTCTCATCTTTAATGAGGTACCAAAAGCTACTTCCAATCGGAAGATGAAAATAGTGCGTAATTAACGTTAACTTTGCCTTTTTTTCCTCCTTCATTTATTGGATTATATGCCCCTGGTGATATTCACATTGATTGTTCATGTTGACATATAGGGTGACTAGAAAGATCATGTGGTAGGTTAACCAAAATAATTTTAGTATTTCATGTCATAAAAATGTCTGTTGTGCTTTATTAGGAAGTTTTTGGTCTGGAAAGTTATAATACAAAAAAATGATTTCATTAATGATTTTTAATTGGTTGCCATGGTATAAATGATATTTGGGCAACTATCCCAGCAACTAATTTAATTTGTACTTATGCTCATTTCCATAGGTAAATAGCTGTTTGGTGATTCTGTATTATACAGGGTGGGATGCATTTTATCATTTGATTTCTTCAAATTTGTTCTGTAAAATAACAAAATAGGTACATTCATTTCAATCCATACTGATATTTTGTACCATTCTAGAGAAAATTGCATTTTAAAAACATACAATCATGCCAAACATTCAAAACTTAATAAAAACTCCATCTATTTAATAACATCATATGTGCACCTTGAACTTGATGCCTTTGCAATCATTAAAAATGTTCTAAATGAATGTGATAAACCGTTTACATACTGTATATATTAATTAATTTTGTCTTCATGTATTAAAAAAATAACAAAAATGATTACTGTGATTGGAAGTGTTCAACAAACTACCAGAATGTTTGAGTCAATACAACAATAACTGGTTTCTGATAAATCCTTGACTTATTCCTTGTGTGGAAAAATACAAGAGAGAGTGACAAAATATATGTCAGTGGCCATTGTCGGAAAATACATTGACATTGACACTTGTCAATTTTTATTTCACTGTTGCCAGTGCTCAATACATCACAGTTTCTAAAGAGAATTTGAAAAATTTGAAAAGAATTTGAAAAATTCTGGACATGAAACTTTTAAATACTGCAAGAAAAATGTTCAAAGTGATAAAAGTTGAAAAACCTGTGATAATACATATTTACAATAAAATTCAAGCTGTTGCTGCATATTTTTTAATAGAAACCTGTGGCTTTGCTGGCTTCTGGCGAACTCAGCAGTGCCATTTTTGATAAGAATATAATTTTCACTGATATGATATATCCATATTGAAAGGCTGAATTTATGCTAATTAATTACCATATTTTCGGATTTTTTACTCAGTTTCAAACAAAAAAAAAACCCGAAACGATTTGTTGAAGTATGCATTATTCACTATACATTATGCATTTCTATCAAAATCATATTACATAATACAGATTTTCTTATAGGAAATTTTATTTTGTTCAATTTGTATTCTTTCAATTTTTTCGCTAGAGGTCGCGGTTTTCGAATTATTCAAGAACACTTCCCTCTACCACTGTAGGAAATTTTGCGACTACACGAATTTGTCCCCTATTCGACCTTTTTTGGCGTTCGTTGATTGAACTATTATGTGATAGCGGTTCATGATTTAGATCAACCGATAGTGACAGATTTTTTGCGAGGTTCTTTCAATGTATGCAACTTTCAAGTAATGATTTTCATGAGTTTTCTACATGTCCTAGACAGTTATCAATTTGTGTTCGCATGGAACGGCGTCACCAATCAAATTCAAATTCGCATTGAAAATTGATGATTCCGAACGATTAGTAAATGCATGCAAATTGGTTCTTGTTGAAACTTGAAAAACATTATACCGCGGAAAAAATTGCATTGCCCTTGTGTAGGAAGACCTGACACTATTAACAGCACATGTGATAAAGAGGGGGGTATTTTTAAACAATTATTTGAGGTATGCTTTTTCCCAGACTTATTTTTAGTGTTACTTATATCACGATAGATCAC